GGTGTGGGGGGGGAGGGGGGGGCCCCGGGCGGGAGGAGGGGAGGAGGGTCGCAGCGGGTCTAGGACGCGTGTGACGAGCTTGGAGTTTGCACCGCAGCCAGAGCCGGCAGCCGGCACCGGCTTTGCCTCCTCCCTCTTGCAAAGCAGGGCAAGGGGAAGCACCTAACCGAAGGAGACCTCCTGAGGGGATCACATCTAAGAGGACAAGCTGAGCTCTCCTCCTCCCGGGTTTGGATCAGACGGCTCTTTAAGGGAAACTCTGATTGCAGACCCTGGCCCCGCTGCGCTGCTCTGTCCTGGGGGTGCGCCCCACGCCCAGCCTCCGCCGTGGGAGTGCAGGCGGGGAGCGAGGACGGACTACAGCCCCGTTTCAATGCTTTTTTTCAAAACAAACAAAACCACCAAGCTTAACTTGCTCAAACAAAAATGGATCAAATTCTATTTCCCTTAATGCAGAGGGAAATTTTTTTTTTAAAAAGCCAGTTCAGGTTGTGGGCTTGAAGACGGGAGTGGGATGACAGGGGTTTTTCCACCCTGGACCTTACTTGCGTTGTCCGTGGCCAGAAGCAGAATCACAGCCAAAAGGAGACCCGCTCTGGCCACGCTGAACTGACCCGGTTCTGGTCTATCAATCTGGAGTGTCTCCTATGCCTGGTTGCATGGATGCTATATGCGTGACACAACGTTGCTCAGAACAGAACATCAACTATAGGCCACAGACACCACAGAGACAAACAATATTTCACCATTCACTGCGGGTGAAGCCCAAGCTCTCAGGGTAATACCAGGGATGTGTTTTGTTGCACGCTAAGTGTAAAGGATTCTTTCCCCATTGTGCTGTGCCGTTACACACAATGTCTCTAGTTCCCGAGTCAACAGAGTGTACCAGTACTCACTGGTGGCTTCTTTGCAACAATAGACAGACAGCAGGGATATACTAAAAGACCATGCACTAGTGTGCACTGTGGCACTCATAAAATAACATATCCACAGTTTGGGGCATCCTGGGCATATATACAACATGACTTTCCCTCCCTCTATGCTTTTAGGCACAAAACCTAGCACCTTTGTTGTTTAAAGGTCTTATTTTTGCCCATAAAGTCAAGACAATAACAATTGCCACACAGCAAAAGACGCACACGTACAAACATTGATTCATGGAAATGGAGTTAGGCTAGTGCTGTGCCAATTCACAGAGATCTGGTAACAAAACTCACTAACGACTAAACAGTCTTTTACCCACACCGACTGCAAGAGCAGCCCAAGCAGCTTTGCACTTACATGATACAAAAGGGGAAATCCAAAACGGTCTTAAACCTGCCCAACTGTTGCCTACCTTTTCCTGAAGGGAAGAAGCAATCCATCTCCACACTGCTGCGGGAATGGGAAATGCAGAGAGCGCTGCTGGGGACCAGACCCTCCTGAGGTGGGCTCCGCTCCGTGGTCCGGACCAAACACCAGCCTGGCCTTTCGCTTGGCCTCTCCAGCAGCTCCACCGTCTGCCCCACCTGAACACTCAGCTCGCTGCTGTGGCCCGCTGTGAAGTCCTGGAGCACCACGGTTAGTTCACACCCTCCAGACAACTGCCCAGGTTCAACAGAAGAAAAAAAAAAAGAACAGGAATAGAAGTTAGAGAGGGCAGGATGAAGGCAATCATCTTTGCATCATATTTACACTGGCAAAGACAGAATTTGTACTCCTTAGAAGCCAAGTTAATAATTTCTTTTGTCAAAGTTCAACATGTTGTGGCCCCGGTTTCCTTTACTTCTTACTGATTCTGCTGGGCTGAAGTGAGAAATCAAAGCTACCCACCCAGTAACCTTTTGAATGCTAGCTGTGGCTGAATTTTCTAGCTGTGGGTGTCCATCAGAAACCTTGCTTTTTTTCTTGCTTTAGTTTCTGGTGTGACTTTCTAGACTGGCAATAGCCCAGGCTGCCTCAGTGCTGTGCCCTTATGGCAGGACAAATTCCAACTCATCCCTCTACAGCGTGAGCTAGACACATTCCCACATGCCACCAGTGCAGTGAGGAAACAGCCACAATTTTTTTGCAAGACAAGAAACATGCCCTCAACTTTCCAAACTCGGTGGAGGGACCTCTTGGGAGACTGAGACTAGGGAATCCTGACTGGGCAGATCAGAAAAGTTCCTCCCATGCTCTCTGACGGAAAACAGAGGTGTAAATATATAAACGTAGAGTGATTGATTATATGCTGACTTCCAGGATCTGTACCTAAGAATAAATGTATCGTCTTACTTCCGTACTGAGCGCTGGCAACCTGCTGCTTTCCTTCAGCCTCACACCCCGTGACTTGATGAACAATACTGGTCTCTGTTTAATTGTAGTCGCTATATAACCAGAGACCAGATATATAAGCGCTTGTGTATAGAGCAGAACAAAACAGAAGTGATTGCACAAGCAGCAGAGTTAATGAAGCTTGTTTTCTTACAGATTTGGATCTCAGAGGTCGATTCTTGGTATCTAAAAAGGTGTGAGCACAAATCTAACGTTTTCTGGTGTGAGGAATCTTTCTTAATGCTCCTCTGCAGTGTGAATTTCTTGCTGTTTGCCTGTCATTAGGGGCCCTCTTTTGGGTCTTTCTCTTCTAAGTGCTGCCTGCTTCCCTGAAGCATGCAGAAATCTTTGAGGTCCTTATTCCAGTGTCAAATTTGATAGAAATTATTCTACTGATTCAAAAGTTATTAAGATGAGAATAGTAAACAAACTGATTCAAAACAGTGTAATACTGTAAACCTCCTTATTTCTTAGGATATGAATTTAAACCCAAGCATATTATAAAATGCTTTTAAAAGAACAACTTCTAAATCCAACTGAATTGGGAGAAATCTTGTAAGATGCTGAGTATCTCCGTGAAATCAATGAGAACTGGGATCTGCTTATCAGCTTGAATGGGGGAGCCCTTGAGGAGAGCGCACTCATCGCTACGGGCTTCACTCTTCAGCTGGTACAATCTCAGAATCCCTTATTTTAGCCCAAGCAGCCCTGAACACACACTCCCACAGGAACAGCCTGTCTCCCCACTCAGTGGCATAGTGGTTTGTGTGTCTAATGCAGGCGCGAAAGAAATCCCATTCACAGAGGTGAGATTTACAATTACAGAAAGGGGTCAGTGGACAAGGACTGGTTCTCACCTGTCCTGTGTCTCTGCCGTAGACGAAATGCTAGATTTGGGGAAGAAGAAGGAAATATTTCTCTGAAAGATTATTTGTAAATAAATAGAAAAAAACCGAAACAAACCGTGGCAGCTGTTCAAGGCCATTCAGACAACGTGCTCGCATTAATCCTGGCAGAAAGAGCTCAGTGGGTTGATGAAAGCGCACAAGAGATCAGTTTAGCACCTAGCTGTGCAGTTTATCAGCAAACCCATCATTCGTCATGCTGACATAATCTTGCCATAACAGGAATATAAACATTCACGGGTATAATAATAATAAGATATTGCTATAATATTACTGAGATTTCTTTGCTATGGACTAATTCAGGGATAGAAAATCTTTCTGATCCAATATGTTGTCTGATCTGGTATGGTATGAGATATTTAAGACACAAGGAAAAAAATCTCATTATTTCTTGGTAAATACACTAACAAATCTTACCAAATATGATGATTTTCCCCAAATTCTTTCACTACTCCTTGCCAAGTAAATTTTCTTTCCCCTACATTATGCTATCTATGATACTTTCTCTGAAAATAATCAAATCTCTCCCTCTTTTAGGGGAAAACACGTGAACAAACACTCTGCTGTATCTACTTCTCTTCCAGAAATAACTTTAAAGCATCTACATGCCCTGCACTCGAGTACCACTAGGTGTCCGTGTTTGCCATCACTAAAGCTAATTTGCTATAAAGAATTAACTCTTGCTTGTCTTCAAAGTGCTTATCTAAGTAGGATGTGCGGTGTCTGGGCATCCTTGACAGGATCCCAAGACCCATCGTTTTGTTTCCAATGATGTGGGCAGAGGATGTTCCAGAATATTAAAAGAATTTCTTCAGACAGTTCGGGTTGATTTTTGAAAAATAAATCATTTTTATTGCTTAAGCAGGAAAGGTGAAACAGCCCTGAAATATCCCAGGGAAAAAGACTTAGTGAAGACAGCACTTGGGAAAGTTTGGGACTAACAAGGTACTTCCTGGGGAGCATCAGCCTGGGAAGCGCTGCCTTAAGCAGCTCCTCGCACCTCACCCGGGACACTGTCCTCTGCACAGCGGCCTAAGGCGCAGCTAACCTAAAATGCCTGTACCGCAAGCCTTTGTCCATCCCTCCTCGAATAACTAAACATCTGTGATACAAACAGATGCTTCAATTTGGGCAATACCTGTAAACATTATCCCAGAGGAGGCAGGTGTGCTCCATGACTTCCAGGTACTACCTAGCTCCAAGCTCTGTTTTCTCTGATTAATTAAAAATAGCTATTTAATACACTGAGAACTGGAAGTAATCGTCTCCTCCAGGAGCTGCTCGGCACCTGGTGTGATCAAGCTCCTCCTCAGCAGGGGAGATATTCTCGGCCCCGGCTTTAGAAGCCTACCTTTGATGTGTGAGGCGGGGAGCTGACCTCCCTCGGCTCCCTGGAAACCGTGTGAATTTATATCACGTGTTCCTCCAACATCCTCTGGATGGAAACGTGGACCAGGGCTTCCTCATGTTCCAACGCACCGCTGGAGGAGCCGGTGCTAAAATAAATCATTTACAGCAGAAGACCCCCTCGTTGGCAGGAGGAATTAAGAGGGTTCCCTTTTACAGGTGCAGGTGGTAGGTGCAAGCAGTTAGCTCAGGTAGGGGCCCGCAGATAATTTTTAGGTGCCGACCACAAAAAACAGAAAAGGAGTTCCTTCCTTTTGCCCAGGGCTTCCAAGTATTTACCATCCCTGTTCTGTGACTTACATACCATCACACCACAAAGAACATTTACTTACCAAATTAACCCACAGCAAAGTAACGTCTCTAAAAAGCTTATATTATACTAACATGTATACAATTTGTAAGCCACTGAGGAATAATGCAAATACATCTGATTCCCGATGACAGAAATCCTTTCACCTATGAAGTGATCCCTCAAGCTATTAGTTACTTAATTCGTTTTTAGAGAGTAATTTTCCAATCTCAGAGAAGTACATCGTGCTTCTCTCTACCTCAGAGAATGCAAACTGGAATACAGATGGGCTGCTGGTTTCTCACACATACTGCATTTGGTTTGGAAAAAGAAAGAAAACAGAGAATGCCCTTAAGGTTGAACTTCACAGGTAAATGGCTTCATATTTTAACATGTTATGTTCACTTTTATTATTCCTGTGATAAAAAACACATTAAAGCCACTGACTGGATATATTTAAAATCCAGGCAGCAGTCTAATCTGTGTAAGGTACAAGAAGATCAGTGAGAGGCATTAAAATAAAAATAACAAGACAACATGCCCTTGCAAAGCACAAGGCGAAACTGAAAGATCTGACACAGGGACAAATCTAATGAATTACACAGCAAGCAATAGCCTGAAAATCAGGAAGAAAAGGAAATGGCAGAAGCAAATAGCAAAATGCAAATGAGGAAGCAGGAGGGCACCGAGCAGTCCAGAGGAAATGTGCTGTATGTCCTGAGAGCAGCTGGCAGGACCCCCAGCCTGTCTCCACGCTGCCTGCCACCATCTCCCGTCCTCTGCATTGACTTCTGCCTGGGCTAGACAGCGTCACTCTGCATTCAGCATGCAAGTGTTTTCATCTCGGTGTTCTAAAGCAGATCAAACCTGAGCTAGAGTAGAGCCTTTCCCCGTGTCACCAGTGCAGACAGGGACCCAGGCACACAGCAGTTGAAAACTCCCCTCTGTGCCGCAGGACACTGCTCACTCACCCCTGAGCATCGATGCGAGCAGTTCATGTCAGACACTGACTCTGGTGAATGAGCTTTGTCCTGACTTACATGAGCCTTTTTGCTTCTGGGAACACCCCACCAAGTGCCTGGCAGCTGTGGGAGGGTGAAATGCAAGCCACCAAAATGATCCCAGGCATGGACACATCCTGGTGCAGGGGCATCCAGGCTGCTCCAAGCACAGGAGCCAGCTCAGCTCCAGGGACCAGCAGGTACTGGTTAGTGCACGATTACCATGAGATGGTCTTTCCCGAATCACAGTGTGTGTGCATGGCCACTGCTGCATCTGTTTAGTTTCTGGCCACAAAGCAGCAGACAGAGGAAGCAAGGCTGAACACCAGAGGCATATTTATCATTATACTACAGATGGAAATGACCTATCAGGTCACAGGCTGTCCTTCCTTCCCTCTAAAATAGATCTTAACTAGTACTAAGCCCACTCCAGTTGAACGAAAAGTGGGAATGAATAGATCTCTAACAGGGTGAGTCGGGATTTGGGAGATGGATGTCTGGAGAAGGATTCCTCAGGCACTTAAACAGGTACCTAGATGGTTTATCCTGCAAATCACAATGGATCTCACACTGCTTCTAAATGATGAACCCAAGCTCTGAGAGGCAGAGAACTGGTAATAGTGGTAATGTGGTGGTTGTATCAGAGTAAGGGAATAAATAGCTGCCCCAGCAAATATAGCAGCATT